AATTAATTTATTTTTGAAGGTAATGCAGGATTGCTGATATAAAAAGCTGTCTTAAAATTTAACTTATCATTTCTATGAAGCAAATCACTCATCAATAAGTGTATGAGTTTTAACATTTAAAAATAGTGGATATGATCATTTTTGTGGTTATTTATGCACAAAAATACACTACTTGAGTACATACCATATAGCGGGTAATTTTGGAGGGGCTAAAATTTGGTGAATTGCTAAATTTTGGTGATTGGCAGATTTTTAATTAGGTGAATTTGTGGCCACATGCCATTGAGCATGCGTATAATGGCTCAAAATGGCAGATTTTTATTTTGGTGAATGGCTATCAAAATGCCAAATTTGCCAAATTTAATCCTCTCCAAAATTACCCACTATACGGTAATGCACTACTACATGTACATGTGTGCTAATAAATCGGTAATATTTGATCATAAAATACTCTTGTGTGCCATTTTTTATTGCCATTGTATGCAATGACTGAACTTACATTGTATTTTTAAAATACAATCTAGAAAGCAGGTGAATTGACACAAGAACTATCCACAGTAAAAAAAGAAAATGAAAATTTGTCAAAGAAGTTGGGAATACTTAAACAGGATTATGTGAGGATACTTCATGAACATACATTAACTTGTACAGGTTAGTGCATATTTGTTTATTATACTAAACATTATACATGTATATTAAAGATACTGCCGAAGTAAGAAGAGGATTGAATTTTGAAGTTGATGAACTGAAATCTGATCTCTGTTATTTAAAAACAAAATTGGTAGAAGAGAATAAGAAAGAGAAGGAGAAATTTCAAGAAAGTATTAAGTCCTTGAATACACGAATAAGACAACACAAAAAGTTAAAAGGTATTTTTAATTTTTTATTAGCCTCACCAGGGATTTGTGTGAACGATGGCTACATGTACATGTATGTAGTCTCAATCTCTGAGTCAGTGTCTGTTTGATCCAGGAGCTTGCTGATGTAGTGAAGGTGGGCCTTATGATTTAAAAAAATGATAGCCATATTTCCTCTAGTTGTAGTAGCCATTTCATTGTGCATCAATATTGATAAGTTTAGGGCAGGCCTTCCCTAGTATTGCTCACCCTAGCCCTGGCTATATGCCACTGGTCTGACCATCATTCTCCATGGCTTTAGAAGGGATTCCCTGCAGTCTAGAAAAAGTTTCTTTTCTTGTTCTAAATGTACATATAGATGGCATGTGCAAGGCATTGAAAAAGCCAATAATTTTGGCAAAATTATGACCTACAATGTACAAGCACTACCTGCATGGTTTTTGTCAGATTTTTAGTGTTTTGAGTAGGGCTGAAACGAATAGTGAGATATTCGAATATTCGTTCGTTAAAGCAATATTTGAATAGTTTTTTTGCTATTCGAACTATTCGCCTAATAAAATTATTAATGGTTATTGCAATAATTAATGACCACGCCCACCGCATGTCACCTGTAGTGATGGGCGGTACCAGATTTTTCCATTTCGGTTCGATACCTAGTACTTCATCTGAGAGTATTGATGGTACCGAGTACGGTTCCGATTACCTGTGAATAGCCACATGTAGCCATTTTTTGAGCCATTTTAAATTAATTACTCAATATTTATGAATAATAATTAGCTGATTATTAATGATTATTACTAGTTATAATAGTTAATTAACGCTTATTGGGTGTGGCTTCCGGAACCGAAACTTTGGTCGGTATTACTTCAGGATTTGGTACCAGCAAATCAAGCACCAGAACCATAGAACCAGATACTTTGGAACCGATACCGCCCATCACTAGTCACCTGCACAGGCTGCTTTCTTGGTCTGTTTACTTACCAACTCACTAAATACTGATGCTGTGGCCATGGAAAGTGGTTCTCAATCTCAAAGAAGCCTTGTTTGGCATCATTTTGAAAAGTTTAGGCCACTCCAATAAGATTCATAGTTTCCCATTACAGAGGCGGGCCTGATGCGGGCGGGCGGGTTTGTTCATTTTCATTAAATTTATTCATTATCAGCTGTATAAATTGCTTGTATAATCAATGAAAAACCGCAATAATGAATAGCGATGCGGCCCCATGCGGGCGGGTAATGGGAAACAAGGAATCAAATTGGAGTGGCCTTAACACCAAAAAGGTAGTTTATAATCATTCAGCAATAACAGTTTAATTACTCGAATATTCATTCGTTTAGCATGCCAATCATCGAATAGTAAAAAATACTATTCGTTTCAGCCCTAGTTTTGAGTAATAGGGCTTTATAGTGTCTCTAATAAAGAAAAAACTTCTAGAAACTAAAATAGAAACTCCCGAGGAGTTTCATTGTAAACACATACATGCTAAGTAATCTGTTGTTACAGATATAATGATTTGATTATAATTATTGTATTTTATGTATTTTACTGACTGTCTATACTTCTTGCTATTTTTACCTGTATTCACTACTCAATTTCACTGTTTTTTGTAGAGATCAAGATACATGTATGCTTATCATACCTGATTCCTGGTTTTTCTGGTAGCAACTTCCTTGAACTAGGCTCTTATCTTCAAGTTAAACATGCCTTTTCTCCTGATGAAGTAATGCCATTTGTACACTCATTATTGACTCATGTGGGGCTGGGCTGGTGCATTTCAAAGCCCTCATCAGTTCAGTCACTAATAAGTTTCAAGGATAAGTTTGAAGAGAATGATTTCAAATTGATTCAAATGAGGAGCTATATTCAACGAGTGTATTATGAATTTGACGATGAAGACCTCCGTTTATCATTCCTCCGAAGTATTTGCTCTATGTGTAGAGTCAATTTTGAAAAATTCTCTGATAGCTACAAGCTATTTAAATATATTGAAAACACAGAATATGTTCACACTCGTGATGAAACTGGGCTTTTCTTCATATTGTCCGCACTTACAACCAACGCAGAGTATTCAAAAGTGCTAATCTTTGCTAAAGAACACATTATTGAGGGTATGTATAATTATTTATAAAATTTGATCCAACATATGGGTATTTTTTTAGTCTGCCCGGAGTTAACTGTACCAAAACTTGAGCGAAGTATGATGTGGATTAAAGAATACAATTGTAAGTTTGATATTGTATATGTACTGTACATGTACATGCTTGTATATTTACAATTCTGACAGGCATGCCATGAATCATGCGCAGGTTGTTGAATCAAATGTAATTATGTTGTTTCATCAGTTTTTGTAGTGCCCTAGTATAAAGTACATGTACATGCATAACACCTGTGTTTGTTTGAGATTATAATGAAAATACCTAAGGTGCAATTTCCTGTCTAGGGACATAATAAATATAAATACACAATGTCAATGAAAGCATGCTGTGGCTAACGCATTCATTTATAATTTTAGATCCGCAACATGTCATTTCAGAGCTATCAAAGAAAATTAAAGCAACATATAAAGACATGCCTGATATTCCATCTGGTGAATCATGCGCAGGTTGTTGAATCAAATGTAATTATGTTGTTTCATCAGTTTTTGTAGTGCCCTAGTATAAAGTACATGTACATGCATAACACCTGTGTTTGTTTGAGATTATAATGAAAATACCTAAGGTGCAATTTCCTGTCTAGGGACATAATAAATATAAATACACAATGTCAATGAAAGCATGCTGTGGCTAACGCATTCATTTATAATTTTAGATCCGCAACATGTCATTTCAGAGCTATCAAAGAAAATTAAAGTAACATATAAAGACATGCCTGATATTCCATCTGGTGACTTCTTTTCTCCTTGGCCCAAAGTGGATCGTACACGCTATGTGACCCTTGCTCTTGTGAAGAATATTGGTATCACACAAGATGATGACTTCTCCCACCGCACCCTCAGGAAATCAGAAGACGACATCCCTCGACACAAAGATGCTGTCACATATGAGGAAGTATTTGCTAGGAAGCTTTCACAAAAAGCACAAATCCTCATCAGTGGACGCC